GGGAAAAGGGAACTAGTTAACAGTGAAGAGGTTAAGGGCCTTTTGGAGACAGTAAATGAAGAGGGGTATGTTGAGGTTTTTGTAACAACAGAAGCTCCTAGTCAGCCCATACAAGAGGCCCAACCCAATCCTGCAAAGACAAAAAAAAAGGATAAGAAGGTAGAAAGTTCAAATACATCGACTATTAGGAGGAGCCCTAGGTTTAAGAAGACAGAAACTGAACAAAGGGAGGAGAGTCCACCTAGGAAAGCCTCAGCTAATGCTAAAGTGTTGAGGTTTGATGAAGAAAAGGATGATGGATGTGAAGGATCTGGTTATTCAAGTTCAGATTTGAGTGATGAGGGACAAGATTGGGAACCTGGTGAAGAAGAATTTGATGAAGGGGATGAGGAATGGTATATTGAAGGGTCAAAGGAGATCTTGGCCAAAGTGAACAAGAGCCTTAGGAAAGGTTTGGAGAGTGCAGTAGATGACAGGGTTGGCAAAGATAAGAGAGTAGAGTTGACAAATGATTTGGATGTTGGAAAACCGAAGGTGAATCCAGAAAGTGATGCTGATTCAGATGATTCAAGGAGTTTGTGTGGATCTGATGAGGAACAGGACTATGCTCCTTGGTTTAATGCTGATGTGGACTTTGACAACCCAATCAAGTTGAAGTTAAATCAGAAATTCAGTAATGCTTCAGTCTTGAGGAGGGCCTTAAGACTTCATGCCATTCAAAACAGGTATGAGTTCTACTACTTGCATAATGACAGTAAAAGGATTACAGTTCAGTGTAGATATAGATGTGGCTGTGAGTTCAATAGCTACACTTGTAGAATGCCTGCTTGTACATGTGTGGGGGGGGGGGGTAAAGTGTCAGTTCAAGGTGTTTGCATCAAAACTTGTTAAGCAGCAAACTTGGCAAATCAAAACCTTGAATTTAGACCATTCCTGCTTCAGAGTAAAGAAGAACAAGATGCTTACTGCTGAATACATAGCAGAGAGGTATTTAGAAGAGTTTAGGAGTAACCCTGGTTGGAGAATTAAGGAGATTAGGGCTAGGATTTTGAATGATTTAGGAGTTGATGTGAGTTACTATAAGGCATGGCTAGCTAGGTGTAGGGCAAAACTACTGATATTTGGTTCAGCTAGGGAGCAGTATGCTAGGGTGTGGGATTATGGGAAAGCTGTGATGAAGTACAACCCTGGTTCAGGGTGCAATGTTGTTGTTGATGGTATTGACAGGCCAGAGCCACCATTGTTCATGAGGATGTTCATCTGTTTAAGGCCATTGAGAGATGGATTTGCAAAGGGTTGTAGGCCTTTAATAGGGTTGGATGGTTGTCACCTCAAGGGTGCCTTTCCTGGGCAAATTCTGGTGGCAGTTGCTAAGGATGGGAATAACAACTTGTTTCCTCTAGCTTGGGCCACAGTGGAGATTGAAAACCAGGAAACTTGGGGTTGGTTCTTGGAATCCCTTATGTCAATGTTCACACATGATCAAGGAGCTGGGCTGACCATCATGTCTGACAGGCAAAAGGTAATGCTTCTGTTTCCCTCTTAACTATTTAGGTTCAATTTCTAAGTTTTCATGTGTATGTATGTGATTGACTGATGATTATACTTTTGTCTGCATTTGGTAGGGTTTGATTAAAGCAATGGCTGATGTTATTCCCAAAGCTGAGCAAAGGTTTTGTGTGAGGCATATTTGGGCTAACTTCAAGCTCAACTTCACTGGATCAACCTTTAAGGAGCTGTTTTGGAGAGCAGCTAGGGCCACCACCATTGTAAGTTTATTGATTGTTGAAGCTAGCCTATGCTTTTATATGACTGTTGGTGTGTTTTTATATTGGTTAGCTTGTATATGCTTGGTGTGATTTCTGGTATGCTTTTATATGTCAGTTTGAGCATGAAATTGCCATGGAGTCTATCAAATTCCTCGATGAAGAGGCATATGAGTATTTAATCAACATTCCTCCCCACCATTGGTCTAGACATGCATTCACACCAAACTGCAAGTCCAACATGTTGTTGAACAACATGTGTGAGACTTTCAATGCAGTCATTAGGCCTGCCAGAGATAAACCTATCCTCACCCAAATGGAATGGATGAGGAGGTATATTATGAACAGGAATAATGAAAAGTGGGAGGATTCAAAAACAATTACACACAACTTAGTGCCATATGTGAGGCATGTTCTGGGGAGGATAGACTTTGTGGCTAGGTCCTGTGTGGTGCAGCCATCCAGAGGGAATACATTTGAGGTGCAGCTGAAGGATGACCAGGTGTTGGTTGATTTGGACAAGGAGACCTGCACATGTTACCATTGGGAACTCACTGGCATTCCATGTGTTCATGCTTATGCCTGCATATTGGATATGAGGGGTGACATAGAGGCTGTTGTTGACCCATACTATACCATGGACACATACAGGTCTGCTTATGAACCAGCTGTCCAACCAATGCCTGGCCCAAAGCACTAGGAGACAGTCAGAATGAGGGAACCACTACCCCCTTCTGTTAAGGTGCAACCTGGGAGACCAAAGAGCAAAAAAAGGAAGCTTGAGCCAGGAGAATGTTCTTCTTCAGGTGGTCAGGCAAGTACCAAGAGGAAGAAGCAATGCAGCAACTGTGGGGGATATAGGCATTATGCCAAGACTTGCAAAGTACCTGCTGCACCAGCTACAGAGCTGATAAAGTCAGCAGGCAGACCCCCACTGAACACTCCTTGGATGGTGGAGGAGAGGAAGAAGAAAGAGATTAGGGCTGCTAAAAAGGTAACACAAGCATTACACCAACTCCCCCTTTGTTTTATATATGTATGTGTCTTTTCCATTGACTTTTTATTTTTATATGCATGTCATAGAGTGCAATTGGGGCTGGACCAAACAGCATAGGAAACAAAAAGTTTCCTCAAGAGCAAGAAGGTTGTCTGCCATTCAGCAAGCGCCCACAGCCACAGTCTTCCTCAGCTAAGCATTCCTCAGCTCAGCCATCCTCTAGTCAGCCATCCTCAGCTCAGCCTTCCTCAAGTCAGCCTGCCTCAAGCCAACCAAAAAGAAAGACAAGGTCTTCCTCAAGTCAGCCTACAACAGCCACAGGTGTTGTAACAAGGGCCAGGCTGCAATCCCTCAACAACCTTACTCAGTGATGTACTCATGCTGGATATCAAACATTATGTCTGTTGAACAATTTCAAACTTTTATTATGTACTCATGACTGGTTATGTAACTTGCTAGTTTTTTAGTGGCTTCCCTTAACAAATTTGAACAATTAGATATTGAATTGTAATGGTTGCATGGCTTTGATTGCCATTGAAACATGTTGAAGTAAGGTTCTTTTGTCAACCTGTACTTGAACTATCTTAGTGTTTCACATATTTCCCATGTTTTAATGTTTCACATGTTTAAATAGGTTGATTAAAAGACAAGGCATAAATAGGAACTTAGACAAGGCATAAATAGGTTGATTAAAAGACATATTTATAACACTTCAAGTCATTACAAGAAATTATAACTACTTAATACAGCTTACTATTACACACCCCTAGCCATTAGGAAAATTACACCCATTGACAAACCTATACAAATGGCCATGCCCACCCAACCAAAACAGCTGATTGAAGACACCTTCCCTTCATTGCACTCCCTGTTCATTCTCTTCCTGTCAGCGTTCAAGGCCTTGCATCTCATCTTCAAATTATCAACTTCATTAAGTAGGCACCTCCTTTGGCCACTGATTTCATCAACTTCCCTTTTCAATTCATTAACTTCACCCTTTAGCAGCTTCTTATCCAACAACAGGTTGTTGATAACCCCTGTTTGCCAATCTGTTCCATCAGGTTGATCAACCCATTCGAAAGCTTTGCAACCCCTTGTTTCTGTTATTGGGTCATAAAACTTACATGATATGAACTTCCTGCCTGGATTCTCCCTTGTCCAGCTAGTGAGCTTGGCCATTGGCACACCACACTTACATTTTCTGGCCTCAGGAGGGGAAGAGCTAACAAACGACATAATCTGCATCAATTTTAGATCGACAGTCACATTCGTCAGATTTGTACACTGACGAATTAACATTGACAGCAACAAAATTCATTTTTAATTTCATAATACGAAAAGCCCCAAATTCAATTTCTGACGAACCCTAATTTCGCAATTGGGCATTTAGATGCGTACATAACATAATCCAACCATTAATCTGAGTACGAAACAATTGCAAATAATAATTGAAGAGAATTTAAACCATAATTACCAAACAACCGAACAATTGACCGCACTCACCTGTTTCAGCAGCTTCAATCTGTTCCTCTTCTCAAAAATCGTGGAAGAATCGTGAAAGAATTGTTTCAAGTATCGTGCAACAATGCAATGCGCTGCTGCTATTCAATAAGAACAACAATTTCGTTCATTGGGGGAGAATCGTGCAAGAATGGTTCTTATATATCGTGCAAGAATCGTGGAAGAATGGTTCTTATATACAGATCTTTTAAAAATATATCCGTTGGGGTGGGCCCCACTAACAGTTCTGTTAACGGAAGATGGATTTTGGTGTTAACTTCCAACTTTTATATTTTTGGGAGGTGTTAAAATAAAAGTTTTTTTTTGGGGGGTGTTAAAAAACATTTTCAGCCTTTTGTAAGGTGTTAAAATCCAAATATTAAAAAACAAAAAACTCTGAACTCACTAAAGATCTATTATTATTGCCTAATAACTTGTGCCGATCAAACTATCTACAACATAAGGATGAAGGGAGTTATTGCGCGGGTACCAACATTGATGATTTTGGTGTATATGTATACGTATATTATTACTGTACAACTAACTAAAGATTGCTATCCATTATAAAAATTTTGTCAAAAATCGTGCACTAGATCTAACTAGTTAATACTTTTATAAAGAGGTTTATTTATAATTTCAAATCATTATAAAGTCCGGCCTGTCAGTTTAAGGATCCATAATTGCGCGATTGTATAATGTCTCGGACCGTTTATTTATTGGACGAATTTGACCCATTTATAAGTGGGCTCCAACCCATTGAAACAATAAGGGAGAAAAAAAATGGGCCATCTTGCTCCCTTCTCTCTCTCAGTCCTCCATTGAAGCGCTCTTGACGATCTCCATTGAAGCGCACTCAACATCGCACTTATCATTCTCCATTACTAACTGTTTTTTCTGAGCAGCTTCTGAGGTAAGTTGTTGTTTCTTTTGGTATTTAATTTCACAATCTAGGGTTCATCTTTCATCTAAATGTTAGTATCTAGGGTTCATCTTTCATCTAATTTAGTTTAATAAGTTTGTAGGCTTCGAAAATCTTAAGTTTTCAACTATTGCTTCTAAAAATTTGATGATTGGAAACTTTACAGCAACTAGAGATATTCACAGAGAACTCAATTCATTTTTCTGCTCCATTCCTCGACTTTACACGTCTATTTATTTTTATTTTTTTTAATTTTTTAATTTTTATCTTTTGATCTTAATAATTGCGTCATTTTATTTAATTTTTGATTAATGCAATTATGCAACGTAAGTACGTAACCCTAATTTCTTTTTTTCACTTTTGAAAAATTTGGTGTTGATTGCATTTTAATATGTGGTTAAGCCGATATCCCTAAAATTATGAGATAATTGAATCAAATTTGGTTGCTAATGCTGAGATTGGGCTATGAAATTTAGACCTCTTCTTTCTCAGTTATTCTTCCTTTGTTGGATGAATATTAGGTGAATTTACAATTAAGTTGTAATACGGCTACTAATTATTATAAATAAACAGTAATATAGGTAGAATACTACTCCAATATAATTAAGTCACATATTAAGTACTAAATTATAGCGGGGAGTGGAGTGTGAAAAGTATGAATTGAAGTCCATGAGAGCAAGGCGGCCGCACATTAGCTAGTAGGCAATGCTCCAATACTACAGCTATATTGTACTAGTAGGGAAAACTAGTTAAGTTCAATTATATATATACCTACATACAATGTAATTTTCTGGCAATGCTGGTTCTGTTTTTTTTGTTTTTGTTTTTGTTCCCTACGGACACCATCAAGGTAAGACATCTAATAAAAGGGAAGTTAATACTACCTCCATTACTGGTTATGTGCAACAATTAGACATTTTTTCTCTGAACTTTATGTCAAATCGTTGCACATAACATCTAACGGAGTTAGTAATAAAGAAACATAAACCGAATTTCACGTGACCCATTCTGATAGAACCCGGTGCCTGACTATGAACATTCCTAGAGTTTGCCTTCTGTCTGTTTTTTTTTTTTTCTTCATACTCTGAGTATAATTCTAGTTGCTATACAAGTCCTCTTTTTGGTTGAATTGAGTAGATGAGCAAGAGCATATGTGAAATCACTTACAGTACTTTGTATGTGATTATGAGGATAATTAAATTGAAATTAAGGGGCTACCTTCAAGAAACGAAGGGACTACTTTATACTCATCCCAACAAAAGTAATTTTCTATATTGATTATGTTCAATTCACTCAATTTAATACTTTAATTTGAATTTTGAGTCTTCATAAATGGATGCTATGCAGAACATTTATTTTTGGTTCATGTAGCTGACTTTTATGGGATTAAGGCTTTGATTGATTGAATGTTGAGTCTTCAATATAATAAGGAAAAACACTAATTTGACTAAATTTCACCTATTTTGTACACTAATCCTTGGAGAGTTTTTTTTTTTTTTAAAAAAAATAAAAATTATTTCATATTAATATGCACTTTTACACATGAAATTTTCACAAATTTTTATTACAAAGTGATTGATCTTTAACAATAAACAAAAATAAATAAATTGGTCCAATGATCATTACTCCTAAAGTCCTAAGTTGAACTAGTGTCCTTCATAATATTATTTTGTATTTTATTTCCTCCTTAATTGCGTAGTATATTCAACATTAACAATTTTTTTTTTAATTATTCACATTAATTTTTTTCCTTTTGAATTTATTAGACACTCCAATGACCTTTTATTTTGATAATTTTTATTCTTCTAATTGCAGCAATTACCCCTAATTTCTCAAAACCTTACAAAGCTTCATCAGTAGAGGTTTAACATTCCTTTTACTACTCCCTATTTTTCGCCCCACCCACTAGAAAAAAACAACCCCTCTTTACTTTTTAGTTCTTCCCAACAATGAAGAAGAAACGAACCCCAGAAACCCAACTACAATACGAACTGGGTACTTGTTCCAAGCAAAACGATCTCAAAAAAGCAATTTCTCTTTACAATTCAGCTTTATCCCAAAACCTCCGTCTCTCTCATCATCACTTCAATTCAATCCTCCATCTTTGTTCGTCACCTGAATCTCTCTCCTCTCCCAACAAATCATTTGCTCTTGAAAATGGGTTTCGTGTTTTCGAGCATATGCAATCCAATAAAATCCCACCAACTGAGGCTACAATTACCCAAGTTGCGCGCCTTGCAGCTGCCAAAAATGATCCAGATTATGCATTTGAGTTGATCAAATGTGCAAGGGATAAAGGGGTTTCGCCACGGTTGAGGACTTATGGTCCTGCATTGTTGAAGTACTGTGAGAATTTGAGGATTGAAGAAGCTTATGGTGTGGAGGAGCATATGAAGGGTAATGGGGTGAAGTTAGAAGAGGGAGAATTGAGTGCCCTTTTAAGGGTTAGTGCTGAAGTTGGGAGAGAGGAGAAGGTGTATGAATATTTGAGTAAGTTGAGGGGGGTGGTGAGGGGTGTGAGTGAGGAGACTGCTGGGGTTGTGGAGAAGTGGTTTCAAGGGGCGAAGGCGGCCGAGGTTGGTGTCGAGGCATGGGATGTTGGGAAGGTGAGGGAAGTGAGGGAGAGGTGTGGGGGTGGGTGGCATGGGATGGGGTGGTTAGGGAAGGGACCTTGGGAGGTGAAGAGGGTTAAGATTGGTTATAATGGGGTATGTTGTGGGTGTGGGGAGCGGTTGGTTTGTGTCGATATCGATTGTGGGGAGACCGAGAGGTTTGCGCAATCAATTGCTGGTTTGGCTATGGAGAGGGAAATCAAGTCTGATTTTAAGAGTTTTATGGTGAGTGTTATGTTTGCTTTGTTGGTTTTATTTGAATGATTGTGATTTGTTTGATTGTAGGTACATTAAATTTGATTTTTTTTCTTCTTTGAGTTAGCATTTGTTTAGCTTGATTTTGTTCTGCCCTCAAACATTCTAATAACACTACTAGAGTATATTAAAAACATTTGTTAACTCTGGGTGCTAAGATTTGTTAACTTTTTAAAATTTTGTGGGAGGAAAAGATTGTAGTGCTTTGAACAATCTAATGGAGGCTATGACTGTAAAATATTAATGGAGAAAGATTTTATATTTGTAAGTTATGTTTAGCTACTTTTATCATTTTTACTAGCTAAAGATAAAGAACCATGGAGAACTGGATATACAATTGCTGAAATGTCTGATGGAAATACTTAGTGGGAGATAGCTTAAGCTATTGTAGTTCACAGCACTAAGCATCGTTTCATTATTCTGTTCTTAGAGCTCATGTTGCTCTTGTATGTTGCTGCAGGAGTGGATTGATAGCCATTCAGGTTATGAGGCTATAGTAGATGGAGCAAATATTGGGCTCTACCAGCAAAATTTTTCGGAGGGAGGGTTCAGTATCGCACAGGTGAAACATTTCTATTTTCTTTCTGTATTTCTGTTTCCGTACCTTTGTTGTTGACATCACTTAATTATATAACACAACTAATTTTAATTCTTTATTTTGCTTTCGTTATGGAAATTGTAATAGAGCAGCTTGAAGCTGTAGTAATGGAATTGTATACTAGGAATAAAAGGTGGCCTTTGGTTGTCTTGCACAAGAAACGTCTACGAGCATTTCAGGAGAACCCTTCCAGTCAAAAACTGCTTGAGGAATGGCTATCTCAAGGCATACTCTATGCTACACCTAGTGGATCAAATGATGATTGGTGAGGATTTCCATACTTTTTTTGCATGGGCATTTCACGTCATTGTTGTTCTATATTAACCGAGACAGTTGGTTGATTTTCTATTTTTTTGGTTATTAGATTTGGCCTTCGATTTAAATTTTCATGAGTTGCGACGGATTTTTCATTTTTATTTTTATTTTTTTAATAGTCTAGCGCTTTTGTATTTTTAAGTATAATTATTCAAACGTGCTGTTTGTGAACAGTATAAGATCTTTATATCTGACTTTTACTTTCTGACTGATAACACCTTGATTAAACGGATTGAGTCCCAAATTTATCAAATTTCATCTGGCAATACTTATTTCCAAATTCCTGTTATTGGCTAGATGATCCTTTTGTATTATTATATAAAATATCTTTAGTGTTTTTTTATCTCTCTTGCCTACACCACTAAAATTTTCATTTAAATGTGTTCAGGTATTGGCTCTATGCTGCTGTAAAGATGAAGTGCTTGCTTGTCACAAATGATGAAATGCGTGATCATATTTTTGAACTCCTTGGGAGCAGCTTTTTTCTGCAGTGGAAGGAACGGCATCAAGTATGTACTTGTTTCTTTAGTAGTTGAGTGACAAGTTTGCCATATTGGCTATACCGAGACTGCTGATTTCTGGGATAGGGTAGAATTGTTAGATCAGTTTTTGTGATTTGTGGTAGATATTTTTGTTTTACTCCAATTTATGGCAATAATTAATGCATGCGTGAACTGATCTATTTGTGAACTGATTATTTGAGGAAATTATGGTTAGCTTAGGCGTCAATTGTTTAGATTTGTGGAGTTGGAAGTTTCAATCCCCGGAGTTTGTATGTTGTAACATTCATAAAGTATCATTTCTCCTATTGGTGGGAAGTTAGATGTTATTTCCAACTAAACAACTGCCAACACATGGAGATGATGTTGTGGGGAGGAAAGAAAGGGAGGGCAAGGAATTACGGGAATATAGTACGTACCTTATGAGGAATTCGGTTCGATGTGGTATCACTATCATTATATTGCTTCAATGAACCATAGTGATTTGCTGTATTGGTGGTAGAATTTTATTTGCTGCATTATAGATTTATAGGTATAGCCTTGAGAAATGACTATATTTTAACCTTTGGAAAGAGAACCTGTTAATTATACTAGTCCATGTGTGTTTGTTTGTTGACTTGTTTCTTATTATGTGCAAACTTTGTGCTTCTTCAAATTTGTTACTGTATTGTACTAGTCCATGTGTGTGTGTCCATCGACTTGTTTCTTATTATGTGCAAACTGTGTGCTTCTTCAAATTTCTTACTATCGTTTTTAGAATTTCATTTTTCACCTCTTTAATAAGCCTATTATTTGATTTTGTAGGTCCATTATACGTTTGGGAAAGGAGTTCCTAATCTTAAAATGCCTCCAACATACTCTATTCTTATTCAGGTATTTGTTTAAATCTTGGTCTTATCTCTTTTTCGGTCTCCATTTTTATTTTTTTGATTTAAAAAAAACCTTCATGTCTTATTTGGCATGTGAGAGTGAATAGCTGGATTTGGGAATAGTAGGGTTAGCATGAAATAATAGTCTACTGTTGGTATGTGAAAAGGGAATATATATGGGTCACTTTAAAGTCTCTAGTGGTTGGTTTTTACTCAAGGAAGAACGTTGGAGGAAACATATATGTGTGCTTTGAGTAAATTGGTATTAGAGTATATAAGTCACACCTAATGACTAATTAGACTGGCCATCCTAGAAAGCTGCCTTATTGAGGGTAATCTGTTTCCCGACCAAATTTGAGATCTTCAAGGTGTAGTTAGGTCAATTATGATGACTGTGCTTTTTGGAAACTGTAATGTGTGTTAGGTAAATTGGTGTTAGGGCACTTAAATCATGCTCTTTTTCAGGTAGGACATCTTATAAGACGAGTGGGTGGGATGTCCTTGACCCAAATCAGCCCCCTAGGGAACCAAATAGGTCTAGAATAGGTTGTCCTAATCCTCTCACAACAGGAAGGTGATAAATATATTGCATGTGACCAACCATAAAGTGTTGGTCCTCAAATTGTTGTTGGACCATTAGCTTGAGTTTAGGCTGATAATGGATACAGTCCTGCCGACATGGGAACTGCAAAAGGTAATGTTATTGGGCGTGCTAGAGAGGATTTTATATGGCTTGGTGTCAAATGTTGTTTGCCATGCTCGATGGCTCAATGCATACTGATGGGAAAAGGGCTAGAGTGTGAACTGTAAGAATTTCTTATATTTGGAGTTTTCTCATTTTACATACTCCGTAGCTGTTTCAAAGGTTTATACTTCTGTGAGCTATGTTTTGGTGACCACTCTCATGTAGGAGACTCAGGGTTATCTGTTAAATGTGGTCCATTTGTCTTGGTCAGTTATAAACCTTATAGCTAGAGTTTTAAATCACGATTTAATTGTGGATCTGTTTTAGCAGACATTGTGGATCTGTTTTAGCAGACATTGTGGATGCTTTTTGCAGTGGCCTTGTTGGTCTATTATTACAGTCATGAAAGCTACTTTTTTTTTTAAAGAGATTATAGCCAAACTTTTATTTTCTAGCTTTAATCTTGTTCTTTTTTGGGAAAGTCAAAAAAATCTGGTATGTTTGGTACTTTGGTTCACCATCAAAAAGGTTAAGGAATTTGAAAGGAAATAGAGGGAGGAGCACAATCACATCAACCCAATTTATTAGTTCCTGGTCAATTGGTCATCCTTTTTTAACCTACTCTTGTTTTATCCTAGTTCCCCCCTTCATCTCCTTCTTTTGACCATCCTCTTTGATCAGTATGATCACTTCATTAGTCACTCCATAATTCCCTCCCTTTTTGTTATTTATGATTACTATTAAAGTGAAAATACCTATATAACCAAATAGTGGGCAAAATATAAAGTTTTTTTGATCTTAAAAGCATCAAACTCCAACCTTTCCATCTATGTATGTGATAGCTGTGAGTTGCAACCAAGATGTAATGAGATTTCGATTTTTTCAGTAGCCAACAGATCAATAAATAATTTGCTTTTACGTGATGCATTCAACGGTCATATGAGCCCAGTTAGCAGTGACTCCCCATGCCATAGCTTTTGAATTAGTGTAATAGAAGACATCATTCCATCTTTGATCATATTCATATTCTTGTATTAAGTTTACATTACAGAGCCTAGTTTCTGTTTTATATCTCTGATTTAAGACTCTCGAGAAGATATCACTTTGAATTTGAAAAGGGGGCGATTGATTTTGCACAAAGAAGCTATGTGTTATTATCTACCTTAACTTTTGGCAGGTTTATGGATTTTGCAGTGTTCTGAGTAAATAAAATGCTTTCGGTATATGTTGCTTTGTGTCTATGGAGGCCTTAATGGAGAAAGTCTTTTTTTGTTTATTTATTTTTTTATTATCCATCCGTGGTTGGTGTGGATATTCGTGAGGCTAAGGTGATAGTTGATGGTTGTGGATTTAGAGGTAGGAGATGGAATAGAAAAGGGGTCCATGGATGAACCAGATTTTAAATATGTGTAGTCTGTGTAGATGGTTAACCTCTGTTAAATCTTCTTTTGATGACTGAACTGTTAAAAGGATAAAGTAATTAGTTAAGAAGTGAAGCTTTCCTCTTAAAAGTAAACTATTATCTTCAATGTTATTGGCCCCTTGGTGATCTGGTTGTGCAGCTTGTGCTTATCTTACTCCCATATATAGTGACATGTTATATGTGGCTGAGTTGTCACTGAGTCTTCATCTTTGTTTATAGCCATCTAGTTTCAATTTGTTTCTGGAAACCTGGTGAGAGACTTTAATTGGTGAGTGCCCCCCACCTTGAAATGGGCTTATAATATTATAATGTATTAGATGGGTTGTAAGCACTTTTGTCACTCGTAACCCTTATGCCTATTTCCATTTTATCTTCACATAATCTGTCACTTGTAATTTTAGGTCTGTTTGTTGTGAGCTTGGGGAATGACAATATAAAGACTATGTTGCTTCTGTGCAGCTGTGCCTTTCCATTCAAAGGTGTTCAGGAAACGTAATGTGTGTGTTAGGTAGATTAGTGTTGGGGGACTTTAAGAGTTTAAGTCATGCCAAATGAGCTGTTAGAATAGCCTTCCTATGTTAGCATTTTATGAGGGATTAGCTTATATTTGGCAGGTTTGAGTTGCAACACAGAATCTCAAAATTAAAAGATGCAACTTGATCTAAATGAGCTATTCAAGGATTCTCTATAAGTTGATTTTTAAAAGTGAAACAACCTTGTTGAGATATCTAAAATTCTATAATGCCAAATGGAAATTGCAAACGACTTGTACCTGAGTTCTAGAAGGCTTTTAGCCTAAGGCTTTAGTTCATTTTGTGTGCATATATGGAGATTTAGTAGTGTTGGATAACATAATTGTAAAAAAGTTTTGGCTCTTCCTATATGGGAACAATTGGTGTTTGATGCTAGGAGATCCCATTGGCTATTCAAGGGTTATCTTTAGGTGCTCTTTATGAAGGCTAGAAATGTCGTGTAAATTCAATCGATGTCAGAGCTCATAGATTATTCAGAGCCAGAGGGCAATCCCATAAGATGCCATATTAAGAGAACCCACCAGTGATACCAAAGGTATACATCTGAGGCAAGTTTTGGAGAGTGTTGGGAACTAAGCTATCACCTGCTGTATGATGGGATATGTGTTCCTAGTTTTTATTTCATTTAAAGATCATCTTAATCTAACTTGGATTACTAAAATTGTTCGTGAATGTGATTATTAACCTTAACATGAAATTGGTACGACTTCTTGCCATTTTTTGAGAGAATATTATGCAGTTGCTTTCACCTGCTTTCTGTCCATTTTTGGCACCAGGGGTGATCATTGTGATATAGTATTTTCATTGATTGTGCACCTACTCTGTAATATTTTACACCTTTTTAATTGGATCATGTAATTGCTCAAACTGCTTATAGATTTCTGGTTCATATCATTTCTGCAGGAATCAGAGAATGGATCTTGGCATATCCCAATAGCCAGTGAAAACACCGACGAGCTCTCAAGAAGTTGGCTTTGCATCACTAGGCCGAGTAGTTTTAGCAACTCTTCCAATTCGGGTGAGTCAATGCATATTACATCAAAAAATTGCAGCAACGGAGGCCATCACAGTTCTGGAAATGGGGTTGCATCCCTGACTGGTAAAAGGAAGGAGAGAGATCCATCTCCTTCCAGACTGGATTAGTTCATCAGTAACAATTTATTTTATTTTTACTCCATTGCACGGCTCCTTTTGCTTCTCCATGGCTATGAAATAGATCATTACCCACAATTTACAGCCACATAAAGTATGCACGGTATATCTTTTTTTGACCTGACTGTAACAATTTTTTGAAGAGGGAAACTTTCAGGCAGGCTATTATTTGTCTGACTGTTGAAATTTGCTTGTACTTATTTGGTGGTATATCACAAGTTAAATGACATTATATAATTAACAGGTATGTTATTAATCCTTTGATGCCCTTGAGGCCTTGATTGCAACTATACAATACTAGAGTAGTGGGGTATAAGATGATTTTTTTTTTTCTTATTTGATTTATGAAATCTAAAGCTAGATTACCTGTTAACATATCTACACTCTATATATATTGCAGAAATAACCAATAATTTTAGTCTCATTGCATATCATATTGTCACCATAAACGAGTTTTTGTTATTGATTAACTGTTAGTCATTAAAATTTCAATATTGCACAATTCTGTTGCAAAGAGAAGCTTGAATTCATTATTGTCTGAAAATTGTATGCACAATTGGTTCCTTCATGTGTCAAATAATGATAATATTGACATTGTCACAATATATAGGTAAATGATCAGAATAATTCATAGGTACCCTTTTTTCGAGGGCAATAGATGAATAGATATATATATTAATTTTAATAATAATGTCATAATGATCCAAAAGATAGGTGAATTACTTCCAAATCTCTAGGACTGTAACACCAATTACATAATAGATTAGACTGTGATCCGGCATAGTAACTTGATTACAGTCCCAACTATATAGTAAGCACATAATTAATAAACATATTGCAAATTTGTGTAATAAATAAATTTAATAAATTTTCTTTGTTTTAAACACTTGGACCGACTTTCTTCCTCTGCTTAATTATTGCTAATGAAGCTGCTGCTGCTGTTGCGAGTAGTTTCACTTGAAGACGTACTTTACTAAACAAGGAAGATGAGTGTTCATGAAGTAGTCTTCCCAGTTAACAGCTTTAGGATCAAAGTAGAATATATCTGTTTCCAATCCTCTATCTTTTGCTGCCATCCTTAACTTCTCAGTGTTGCTGTCATCATATCTGCAACATATTTTCAAACTCTGTAAGTCATTTTTTTTTAGAAACAGTTTTGTGCAACATAAATAAAGTCTATAGTGCTGCCTCATTGGGAATATTTGTTGTCACATTACTAGTTGATTTACAACACAAATGTGACGATTAATTCTGGATTGAGGGAGTATAATTCTATAAAATTGTTTCAGTGTAACTTACAAGCCCTTGAAGAACAAATATGGTCTGTAAATTTCTATCAGCCGCATCACATGGTTGATCTTCCTGCTCTGTTCCAGAAATGTGCCCTTGAAGGATTGACAAAATGCAATGTTCGCTATTTCGAGGGCCTGTTGAGAAAACTTATACCAAATTAACACCAACTCTATTATTATTGTAAATTGGGGAGAAAAAAAAAAAGATGGCCAACATCATTTTAAATAAGTAATTTCTGCAAGTACTGGATAACTAGCCTGGGTTTATAACTCCATATGCTCCATGATCATATAAAGAACATTATTACGTGTTGAATTTGATCGAAACAAAGTTTTAGGAGATAAGCGCAGTACCTTCAAGGGTAATAAGTAATGAAGAGTAAGGTATCGCTTGAAGCTAGCCATGGATCCTAAGACCCTGACATGGCTAACTATGACAGGTTTTCCATCCTTATTAATCCATGGATGCCTCCTGAAATACTGGTAGGCTACTTCATGAAGTGTTGTCAATGAAGTCGGGTTTCTTACTGATGATCCAACTTGGTATATCCTTGGATTTCCAGGTTGATTTGCATGAATCATGGCTGCTACTATGATTGAGTTGGCTACCATATCAGCAGGAATCTGCACATTGAGTTGGCTACAAATCATACTCTTAAAACACAAGACCGTATATAAGTTTTGTATATTATAATCATTCCGTATGCATGCATTATATACTGAATACGTTTATACTTGTTACTATATATTAGTATAGGACTATAGATTACTCATTTAATCATTTTAGGGTGACCTTACCACATCAACAGTCGAGTCGGGGTCACCTACGAAGCATGGCAACCTCCCTTTACCATAAGCAACAGCTAAACTGTCAATTGTCCTGCAAAAGTCAGTATTTAGTATAACATCGAGTATGTATCGTTTGTATCTAATGACTCGGGCATTTGCTAGCATTTGCCATAATATTTAAGAAAAAGTTCATTACCTAATACCTTCGACCCAACCGGGGAAGGGTTCTTTATAAGTGCTGGTGACGATGGTAGGACGAATAATAACAACAGGAATGTCTCCCTTTTCATGGAGTAGTACCATCTCTCCTAACGCCTTTGTAAACACATAAACATTTGGCCATCCCCAGTGCTTTGCCCTGATAAATTAATTAGTAAAGCACAAATTTAGTTAACACGAAGTAATAATTATAGTTTTGTGTATATGTTCGACATTGTTCGTGGTGTGTTGTCACGAAAAGATGGTGCGTGTACTGCTGTTACAAAGAACATGGTAATCCGGTTTAAAAACACAAATTAATACTGTGTTCGAAATTTATCCAAACTATGGTAAAAAGTGACTAGTGTTACATATGATCCATTACGAGTCTAGGTCACATCTCAATCTATGAATAGAGTTATGTTGTGGTGTGATGTGAAATTACAAGGTCTATCATCAACATTATTAAATGTATATATCCTTATAGAGTAATAGTACAACCTTCTTTCTCGTATTAATGTTAATATCAAACTGTCTTATTCATCATTTTTTGGGGGAAAGTGTTTTGGTATGATCTCTATGATATAGGACAATATTTATGAGTAAATCTGTGTATGAATAAAGAAAAGGATGTTACATATTGTGGAATTAATACTATTATTGAATGAAGATAAGACATTAAGACCACAATCTAAGAATGTGAAAAGGCAAGCAGTTGGTAGTTGGTTACTGGTCTAGAAGTGATTTAAAACAGTGTAAATGAGCCATATGAGTACCAATTTAGCCTTAAAAAAAAGGGAAAGAAAATGTTTTTTGAAAGTAGAAATGGCTGAGCCAATTGATTTAAAGTTGAAGCTGATTTGAATAATGTCAGCACTCAGAAAAGATTGTAGACATTCTACGACTCAACCTATTTGTGTTTATCATACGGATCCTGATTAATACTCCCTCAATCTCTTTTTGTTTGCACCATAAACACGCTATTTATGAGTGTTTTTTTGGGTCAAATGGACTAACTTATAAGAGCACCACGTTAAAAATGGGTTGTATAATATTTTTTAATAACTAAGATAATTTCATTGTACTTGATCAACCATAATATTCATCCATTTCTTGTAGTGTCTCTCTCACATTGGATAGTCAGTCAGTCGTAGTTAGTAGCCTTAGTAAAGCTAATTTCCAATGGTTCATAAGAATTCATTTATTAGGCGGCAATGAAAGTTACATTATATAGTAGGTACTTCCTAATTAAAAAGTGTAGATAGCGGGCCAATGACACACTAACCTATTTAACTCAACTCTTGACATGTGTATTCTGTAGCTATCTTGTTCACGCCTTGTTATAGTAAAGTCAATTAAATTATTTACGGAATATAACATACAGTATGTCAGTTAAATCATAACACTAAAACTAACATTATGTTTCTATTTCAAAGTTAGTCTTGACATACCTTTCAAGGCCCATGTCCCTCATAGATAACTTGATAGTATCTGCCGTGGCTCCCTCAGCTTGAAGCTCCGCCAATTTGTCTTCAACAAGTCTCTTCTCGGCTTCGATGTCTAGCCCAGGTCTCCCATTCAATGTATCTCCCATGAAGTAAGGACTCTCCTTTACTAGTCCAGCCGTCTCACCCGAAACATAAGCTGATCAAAATTATCACCTCTAATATTGGTCAGCACGAGTCTGATTTAAGATTGCTAGCTTAAATAGTGTATCAATAAACACGGAACTTTTTAATTTTAGACTTAACCCCGACACATTTTACACTCTTAATAAGTGACTTGTGTTTAACCATGTCACGTACGTACTAATATTTAATTTACATGTACCCCTTTATATCATCTTCAATACGAAGTATAATTTAATTATTATGTATAAGATCAAAAATATTGATTATGTTATTTAAACCCTAGAAAAGTAACGATGATATGAAAATAAACTCAATTTTTGTACTAACCAGTCGATACTTGGACGAGCACCTCCAAGTGTTTACATTTCTTAGCAAAGTCCAGTACATGCTTGGCGCCCAAAGTATTAAGGTATAACGAAGCATCATACCTGTAAATTTTTTTTCAATTATCTCAATCATTTATCTATAATAATCATTCCGTAAATAAATTTAATTTTCTAACACGAACTGTTAGCCACTTAACAAGCTAGGGTAAACGAAGAAAAAACGTTCACATCTGCATTAACTATCACGTCCCTTTTTTAGTAATTTTTCGGATCTAGTTTATTAACCAAATAAGAATAACACGGTGGTTTAAGTAATTGTTAACTACTCGTATTAAGTAGCTACCAGCGGCTAATTGGGTTGCTTTAGGGATAAATTAGGTTATTTTATGGATAAAGAAGTTAGACATACACTACTTGGGTCATTTTCAATTAAATAAAATCTCACTTATAATCAAACATATTGTATGTTATTTAAAAACAATAATTTCAATACAACTTCCCTAAAAAAATAATATAGAGTAATAATGAAGTACTAACATAATTAATTACTTAATTATATATATTTCTAATAAAGTGTACCTTTCATCAAAGTTGGTAGTTGCAGCTAGGTTAACAATAACATCAACATCACTCCATAATTCTTCCTTTAATTTAGATTCATTGATTGCCAAGTCTTCACAAGTTATATCACCTGGCACCACTGTCACCTTTTCTTGTATGAAGGTATTGAAGTTTGCCCCCATCTTTTGCTTCACTACTTTGAACAAGTCTTTTCCAATCACCTAATAAACACAAAAAGTATTTGTACTTAGGTCATTACATTGCTCTTTTCTTTTCCAATTTCACTTTCTTTTTTTTTTTTACTCTATTTTATTGACAATTTGTTTGTAAATTAATAAGAAAAGCATGCAAAAAAAAAAAAAAAAAAAGCATGCAAGACTTTTTGCTAGGTCATCTATGAATTATTATGTTATAATCACGAACCCTCACCTCCGTCTGGATATTTATTTTATATATAGTCACACATATACTTTTGATCTAGCGTATACGTTTGAAAGGTGTTAACCTTTAATATACTCCGTAATATAAAATCGTAATTGTTTTTGTTTTATATGCACACTTATAGTTAATTAGTTATACATGATTGATGAGTTTAGTTTTATAAAAAACAGCTATTCTGTATATATGATATGAATTCTTTATGTTATATCCTTAATCATACAATTTTAGGATAGTTTAATGACTATTATCATACAGAACTGCATATATGGATAAAGTGAGTGAACAATCACGTTCGTGAGTTAGTGGAAAGAATTCAGTTGCTTGCATTATACCATTAATTGGTTTTTGTTAAAAATATAGTAATCAATGTGCCAAAAAAGAAATAACAATTTCTTAAGCTAGGGTTAGATTGTTAGACACTATTTATTCATACAAATAGAAAGAAAGAAAGATGTGACAAAGTTCAAACATTTCTAGACTGCAATGGCAAATCATATCAACCTAACACTTTAGCCTGAAAAAACCTCCAAATAATAACAGATTTCAGGGAATTGCCAAAATAAATAAATAAAAAAAAATTATTAAAACAAAAAAAAAAAAAAAAAAGAAAGGAAAAAAAAAACAATTTATAGCATATGTAATAATTTCTTCCATTTTTACTGGTACTCAGTAGTAGTTACTGAAACCAACTACCCTCCTGACCCAATAAAGACACCCATTAAGTAAGCAAAAGTAGGAGTATATATGTATGTAATTTGTCGTACTAAAGTTTTATACTCGTAAGATATATTTCCTTAAATAATCGTACATATTGTAGTTTACAACATAAATAACATGTTAGTACAATAACATACTAACATATGAGCAAGGTATTGGCCAAGTGATATGCACTAAGGACATGTGTATAGCCGTATAGGTCATGTATTCAAATCTCATTCTCAATCATTTATAATACCTGGAGTTCATTTGGACCAAAAAGAAACTAAAAGAGGAAAGTTTTGGTGTTCTTTTTTTACTCCATATTATAAAAAAAAAATGTGTTCCAACTTGCAAAATATAATTCTTAATGTGACGCATTGATGAAGAATATATTGAGCTTCATTTTATGATTAAAAATCTAGCTATAGGAACTTTTTACGGGAAAAAAAAATTTAATTCTAGAAATTAAAAGACAAAAACTTGAAAAACACTAGCAACTCAATGTCTCACTAACCTTGTTTACGTGCTAAATAGACAAAAATACAGTAATTAGATAAAAGTAGCACAATGTTCATGTTAAACTTTATAAAAACAAGCTAAATTTTATAGAAAAATATACTCCTTACCTCGTTTTGCAATCTTAGTGAAGCTGATTTGTTATCAGCAGCTCTTAGTAGAAGATAAACTTTCTTCACATTAGGTTGAGACCTTAGCACCTTCTCTGCAAATACTACAAACCCAAAAGAAAGACGGTTGTTACAACTAGACCTGTCAAAATTCGACTCGATACCAATACGATGGTAAGAAAATCCCATCATATTTCCAAACTTAGTAAAACGGTAGTTTAAAAAAACACTTCAATTCAAGTTCATTTTTAACTTTACGTGAACCAAGTCAACCAACCCGTCTGACACGTCTAAATAACGTATAAATGAATAATAAAGATGGGGAGCGATATCATACTCTTTGCTAGAAATCCAGCTCCACCAGTGACTAAAATGGCCTTGTTCTCCAAAAACTTCAAAATGCTATCTAACTCCATTGTTAGAAAAACAGAAGAGAAGTTAAAAAAGAAGAGAAGATATAAAAAGGAGGAAAGAAAGAATAAATATAGAGAGAAGAAATATTGAGAAATGAGCGTTTTATAGGGTGAATAAGAATTATATGAGGGTATATATATAACATGTACTTGTATGATAATATAGGTGATCAGAAAATAGAAAGGGGTAAAAAAGAAAAGACAAAATAATAATAAGGTAGAGTATACGCAAGTAATATTAGCGGTGGATTAATATGATAGATTGATGATTTGGTGGGCTAATTATGTAGTAAATAATTAATTAGAGAACTTGCATTATATAAAATAAATTATGAGAAGCTTGGTTAGACCCACTAATTTGCATAAAATTAGCGTGAAATTCACTAACATACTTTACCCAATAGTTTGGGTAACGCGTGCATGCGGTTCATATTTTGGTCAATGAGTTTTTTTTTATACTTTCGTGGTTTGTAGAGAATTTTTTGGTGTGAGTAACTAGTTAACTACCCAATACTTGTTGAGTTTTATAAACATTACTATAATATAATGCGACTAGATCTTAAGCTTGACTCTACTTCGTAAATCTATATATAATAGGTATTTCGTATCATCGTATGTAGTTGTTTTTTTAATCATTAAGCTTGGCTCTACTTCGTAAATTTATATATAATAGGTATTTAAAATTGACATGTATATATCGTCTAGTTATATTTAAAATTGACATGTATATATCGTTTAGTTACTCCACGTATCGATGACTCTATTGAATACTTTGCATAATAATTATCAATGAAAGATTAAGTATATACAATAATTAGCATAACCATTGAAAAACGAGTTAAAATAATTGGAAAATTTTGATTTTGCAGACACTAAATTTCATAAGCTTTTTCTTTATTCATTCGAATCCAAATCTCTAATTCCTCCAAATTCAAATAATTATCTTTAATTTTAATTAAGATCATGAATGTACACATTGTTGGCGATTTTAGTTGTGGTAGTATATTACTCCATATAATTTAATGTTGTTTGCATTCAAGTTATCAGGCTTGTATTTATAACCAACTAATTGTAATTAAGAATATGAGATACATAATTTTATTAAAAAACTATTTATAGTAATTAAAACATTCTCCAAGGACTCCTACTCTCGCATGCTGTCTCCTAACATAGATAAAATGATATTTTTAAGGGAATAATCCAAAGATAAATTCTAAGAATTCGCAATTTTTTTTTCAAACATTCTAAAATAGTGTACATATTGTAGGTCATTATCACACAGAAGAAGTCTAGTACGTATCATATTGTAGTTAATTATGTGCTATTATGGTTTAAAGAGTATGATATACCAATATTTGGGGGTTGAGTTAGATTGTGTCGGATGAAATTTCCCACCAAACATTCTATATTTTTTTCCTCAATTGTTTTTGGAGGTATTTGTTATGGTCTAAATATACAACTCGCACACCAACTGCCAGGTTAATTTGTGATAAATAACAGTTGAAATTTGATATATAGTTTATGTAAGTAATTAAGCTATTAGATCATGCATGATCGAGATGCCAAATGTGAATAGAGATAAATTATCAAACATGCAAAACTAATGTTTCTCTCCTTTTCATTAATCAATTATTGTTGAGTGGTCATCAATTAATCTATATTATATGGCTCAAACTTTTTTTTTTTTGCTACATAAATGATTAATTTATTTTTTTTGCTACATAATCATATCTAGATAATCCCTCGGCGATGCTCAGCTTTGCAAATATCGAAAAAAAAAAAAAATTAATTGCATTCATTTGATATAATTCTTACAGAGTAATATTAATAATATCGTTGACATAAGAGCTAAATAACCCATGACGATTTCAAGAATCAAAATGTAGGTATAAAAATGCAAATTTTTTTTTAAAGAATTAAATCAATAAAAATTCAAAATTTAAGTAATATGAATAAAGAGGGGAAAAAAATAATGTTATGAAAATAGTTAATTCATACCAATTTTTCAGATTCATGGTCATATAGCCTCATAGTATGAAGAAATTGGTGTAGTCATAGAGGGGTATATAACAAGCTAAGCTAGTGTTGTTTGACTTGACTCAAAAATTTCTTGCTCATGTTGTTTGAAATTGTCAACTTTCACTTTTGAAAGGTAATAACAATTTCTTATTTCAAACTGGATCAATTAAAAGTTACAAAGTTTTAATTTGTACACAAAATTATTGAGTTGTGTTAAAACTTGCTCAATTTATGCTCGTCAAAGTATTAAATTTAAATTTAATTAATCTTTGACCAATTAGTTCGAGTTGAAGTGAATTTTTGTCACAAATTTTTGACAGTTAATAGGAAAATAAATACTAAAACGTATTTGCTGACATAAAAGAAAACAACATCCACTAATCTAAAAATGGCACCAAAACGTACGACTCAAACGTGTTAATGGCAAAAATGTGGTCGTCCTGGTCGAAGTTATCCATGCCACCAAAAAGTAATGCGAAGTAAATCATAAATTCCAAAATCAATAAATAAGGTTGTTTACTTATTTTGAGTGTGACTTTGATTTAACTGCTACGTTAAGTTGCTAGAAGCCTTTTGCATTTATGCTTTGTAAATGTATGGTAAATCATGTCCAGCAGCAGAACAGTTAAAGTAAATAACATTGACATTTTCACAATATATATAATACGAAGTATAACTGATAGAGTATATAACATATTTCTGGGCCTCAACCATCAGCTTAAGTTTTTGGTTGAGTTGGTCCTCTAACATGGTATCGGAACCAACGTGACATAGAGGTCACGGGTTCGAATCTCGTCCACCCCTCCTTTAAAGTGGAATTAATTCGCGCCGGCTGTATTAATAGATCAACATAGTCATCTTATCCTCCAGTAAGCCATTGGCCTGTTCAGATTGATTGAACTGAGCTGACCTGAACTATTAAACTTATTGTAGCTAATTGAACTGAAAATAAGCTGAAAAGAACAGTTGATTTAGACAACTGAACATCGAACACATAATTAGTGGTTAACTGGTAAAGGGATTTAGAATAATGTTTACTTAATGTATGCTATGCTCAATCAATTCAAACCGTTTGATAAATTTGTGGAAATAGTGAAATACGGTCATCGATCGTATATATGATTTTATGTATGGCAGGGATAACTTTGTTGTTCCTAAGCTACAATTGGCGAGATTAGGCCTTGTTTGGCAAATGGATGTTGGTAGTTGGCTGGTTCACTTGGCTTGTTTGACCAGCTGGTATGTTTGGCTGTTTATAATGGCTTTTGAAATTGGCGGTTAAAGCTGGCTGTTTATAAAAGTGTTTGGTAAATTAATTGTTGGTAGTTGGTTGTTTATTAGATAATTTGTGGCCCAACAAGCCAAAAGCCAACAAAAAAGCTACTCAAAGCAGCTTTTTCATTTTGGCTTAAAAGCCAACTTTTTCACTGGCTAAAAAGCCAATTACCAAACACATTTTTTGGTTTTTTGACCTCATAAAAAAGACAAAAGTTAAAAGCTAACCAAAAAGCCACCAAAAAACCATTTACCAAACATGGCCTAATTAAACCCCTCAACCTTAGCTTATAAACTATGATAGCTGTAGGACTGTTGGTACCATAAATGAGACACAGGCACATATATTGTGTAAGGTCGACATTTTGTCCAAAATTCTAACTGCAAAACTCGCTTGTGCTTTAATAGTCTGAAACTGATACGAAATTGGCAATGTGTTACTCTCCTTTTTTTTTTTTTCTTACAAATGACCAAACATAAAATTTAATGTATAAGTGTGACATAAAGCAACCCCTCAAAACTAACCAGTAACCACCTAGCTACTATGAGAGCCGTGACCTAACATTTTCTACATATATCCAAATTATATGGAAATAGGCAGGCATACTCGAGACATAATTTTGGCTTGTTAGATACGTGTATTATGTGAAATGATCGAGCATATGAGCAAAATTGTATGAAGTACATTAGATATACTAGAGCAAGTAATGAGAATCATATCGATTCCAAGATCTCTTAAAACCAGTGGCGGACCCAGGAATTTCCGACTGGTGGGTCACAATCGATAATCAAGTATGTAAAAAAAAAAAAATTACCGAACAACCAAATAATAGTACTAAAAAATACATCCAAATATTCAAACAATACAAAATACAACCAAATGTTCATATAATACTACAAAAGACAAATAAATAGTAATGCAAACTTATTACAATAGTTCTCGACAAGTTTTCATGTTTTGATATCGATTCATGATATCTTCCATGCTAACATTCAAAAACAAATCATTCTCCAAATAAGTAATTAAACAATCATTCAACATTTGATCTCCCATGCTATTTCGTAGTTTGTCTTTCACTTGCTTCATGCCAGAAAATACCCTTTCCACACTTGTCGTTGCAACAGGAAGAAGCAACACCAACTTCAAAAGTAAATAGACCCTATCATGAGTTTCAGACAATCCCGTTTCAACCAATTTGATTGAAAGATCACTAAGACCCTTCAAATTCCAAAACCTTTCATCTCCTCTAACAGAACAAATGTAACTCTCAAGTGTATGACCAAAGACTATCAATTCTGAACTTGGAAATTCATTAGGATAGAATTTTGCAAGCTTAATCAATTTTTCCTTATCAAACTTAGAAAAACGATCCACAGGACTCAAACAAGACATACACACAAGTAGTTCTTTAGTTATTTCGGGAAATCGATTTTCAAGTTCTTGCAATTGAACATCAATGACACCAAAAAAAACTTCAACTTGAAAATGATGTAGATTAGACACTTGTGGGCATTTACCTCTAAACAACCTCCTCCCGGGAACAACATATTTAGCCTCCATATCTGGAACTGCAATGTCATAGTCACCAATAAAAGAAATTACCTTTTCCATATGAGAATCCCATCCTTCATCTCTCATTTTTTGCAAATTAGTCTTGGTTACATTAACCATGGCCATTGCATTCACAATGTCTTGATCGTGCTTTTGTAAGGCCACATTCAAAGCATTTGTTATCGCAAATATACTAACCATCAAGTGTGCCACGAACACAAAATCAAAGGACATCAGAAGATTTGTAAGTGTTTGAGCTCTATTAGAATCTATTGTATCAGATACTTTTGCAATATCCTCAAGAGAACCAAGGATTACAGGGAATAAATCAAGTACATTCAAGATTGTCTTGAAGTGAGATCCCCAACGAGTATCACAAGGTCTACCTAATCCACGTTCTTGATTTAAACCTGAACCCGTTTCAAGTTCACCTAGAGACAATGCATCCACCACTCTTTGAGCTTGATTTTCACGAAGAAAATCTTTCCTTTTTGGTGAACCCCCCACAAAATTCAAGAGAGGTGCAAGTACATCAACAAATAACCAAGCACAATCTGAATTCTTTTTAGCAAGTGCAACTTGAGTTAATTGAAGTTGGTGAGCAAAGCAGTGGACAAAATAAGCTTCTTTACACTCATTCTCTATAAGAATCCTAAGGCCATTAATAGAACCTTGCATATTACTTGCCCCATCATAACCCTGACCCCGTACTTGAGAGAAAGACAAAGAATGCTCCATTAATAAGGATTCAATAGCAGTTTTGAGAGTCAAAGAAGCAGTGTTTACAACATGCACAATACCAAGTAAACGCTCACACACTTCTCCCTTTCTATTAACATATCTCAAACAAAGAGCCAATTGTTCCTTGTCAGAAACATCAGCGGACTCATCAGCAAGGATAGAAAACAAACCACCATCAATATCTTCAAGCATTGCTTTAGTGGTCTCTTTTGCACATGCATTTATGATATCTTTTTGGACTTTAGGAGAAGTAAGTTGACAATTACTAGGAGCATTTTTGAAAACAACTTTAGAATATTCAGGATTACCTTTGGAAATAAGGGATAAAAGTGAAAGAAAGTTACCTCTTCTTAAGGAACTTTCTTTTTCATCATGACCACGGAAAGGCAACCCTTGTAGTAAAAGCCATTGGATAGATTCAATTGAAGCTTCAAGTCGCGTCCTATATGCATTTGTACTCTCAGCGGTTTGTTTTGTCAAGGCTTGTGTGATGCTTGAATTTTGTTTCTTGAACAAATCCATAGCTAAAACATCATTATTATGTGCACTCAAGTGTTTACCGACATGTTTTCTTATTAAATCCGATCGATTCCATGATTTGAAACCATCACTAACAAAAGCATCACCTCCAAAGGCATTTTCATCCTTGAATAGATAACAAGGGAAACAATAGGCAGCATCCTTTTCCACACTATACTCAAGCCAAGTCCAAGTATCAAACCACTTAGCACAAAAGCGACGATTTTTGCCAAAAATAGAAGTTTGAGGAAATGTAAAGTCTTTGGGCTGACAAGGCTTTCTTTGAATGTAAATTCTTCTCACTAAATCTCTATCATCTTTATGAAATTGACTCATTTTTCTCCTCTTTCCTGGATCTTGTGGAAGATTAGCAAATTCATGTTCACTTAATCTTTCTCCAAAGATTGGGGCATTAGGAGAACATTGGCCTTGTTCATTTTGAGGGGAATTTTGAGTTGAATAATGAGATGGAGATGAAAGTTGTTCACTTTCTTGAGGTGGAGTTATAGTTTGTTCATTTTGTGTTGGATGTGGAAGAGAAGTTGGAGTAGTATTCTTTTTAGCAAAGAAGCTAGTAATGTTTTGCATTTCATTTGGAGTACGTTTTCTCTTCATTCTGAAATTTGAATAAATATTGAACTAAATCAAGCAATATTCCCCAGAAAAATTATTTGAATAAATATTCAACTAAATCAAGCAATTTCACATAATGACATAATCACATAAACATATTACACAAAACACAATTACACAAAACAGATTTCACATAAGTTCAAGAGACAAGTAATGCAAATTTGATAAAAAATTCACAAAAAAAAAAGAATCAATTGATGATTAGTTTATTACCTACCTTGCTAGGCAGAGGCGAGCAGCGGAGCAGGCGGAAGCGAGCAGCTGAGCAGGCGGAGCAGCACTGCAGTAGGGCCACGGCCAGTCGGCCAGCACCGCAGCACGGCAGTCGGCAACACTCAAGTCTCAGGCACGCACTCAGCAAGACAACAATTCGCCAATTCAGCAGCACAACCAACTACAAATTAACAAATCAACCAAAGTTTAAACCAAAGTTTAATAAAATTAACTAATTAGACTGAATTAATTTGAAGATTAGAAATTAAAAATAAAAATTAGAAATCAACTTACTAGCGAGTAGAGATTTCGAAATGCGATTATGCGACTATGCGAAAAGCCACGAAGAGGACGGAGTCCACGACCACCGACCACCAGGCGAAGAGAACGGTGGATGCCTGGCTGGGACGAAGCGAAGAGGCGAACTGAAGAATGGAGATGAGGCGAAGTCGCGAAGAGAAGAAGGCTAGGGTTTGATTGTTTGAAGAAGACAGAAACTCGGGATTTCGAAAGCAAATGTCATTTTTTTTTTTTTTTCAAAAAATAACTTAAAATTTTTTTTTGGGCCTGGTGAGTCACTTTACCCACCAGGTCTAAGCCCAAGTCCGCCACTGCTTAAAACTGAAAGAGAAGCTCTAAACACTTGAACTACGTAGTATATATAAACCTCACTCTTAGGGTCCAATGTAATGTAAGTCACATACTCACGTAGTCATAGTACTCACATGTATTTAAACATTATTATTTGAAGTGAGCGCACAAGCAAAATTTTGCACTACATGTATCGTTTAAAAGCTAATTTAAATTTAGCAATACATGGACGAACATATCATCATAAATAATCCAATAATATAATACTCTTAATAGATGAACATTCACCCTAATAATGAATTAACACGTAATAACACCCTTTTTGATCTCATACACAAACAAGGAGAGATAGGGCGTTAATGCAGGGAGCTAGGACAACAAGAGGTGTTTCTTATGGAGGGAATAATGGGGATCCTAATAACTAGGAAACTAAAAAGTGATTAGAGATTAGAGATTAGATATAAATTAATCTTGATTAATTGGTGCTTCAACATTGCACTACTTTTGGCTGAAAGTTCACGTATCTTATTCTGTTAAATTTTGAAACAATTTGAAATGGGCCTGAGCAACCCGAACAAGGAGGAGGAGAGTTTGGTCCACAAACAAGGCTTTGGAGCTTCCATACTAAAACCAATTGACAATAGTAGGAGGTACTCCTCTACCTTATAAAGTGAAACTATCTCTCCTCTTTCTCCAATATGGAACACTCATAAGTGGACTACAATGGGTTTCAACACTCCCCCTCACTTATGAGTGTCATTGACATCCTGTCGAGGTAAATCTTTATCCAGTAGCGATTAAATACCCAGTTTTTTAGAAGAGACCCACAACCTGGGCTCTGATACCATGTTAAATTTAGAAACAATTTGAAATGGGTCTGGGCAACCCGAACAAGGAGGAGGAGAGTTTGGTCCACAAACAAGGCTTTGGAGCTTCCATACTAAAACCAATTGGCAATAGTAGGAGGTACTCCTCTACCTGGAGCTTCCATACTAAAACCAATTGGCAATAGTAGGAGGTACTTCTCTACCTTATAAAGTGAAACCATCTCTCCTCTTTCTCCAATGTGGGACACTCATAAGTGGACTACAATGGGTTTCAACATATTCATATTACAAAATTCAAACTCCTTATATATTAATATGCATAACGTGCCCCCCTTCAACCCTGCCATGCGTGCACCCTTTCAATGAATTGCGACTTGTATTTGCCTAATTTTTAGACAAAAACGGGCCCTATTATATTCCATTTTAAGTACTAATTATGCTAAAGTCAAATTAATTCAGTTCAAGCCAACTAATTTAACTCTTTAATGAGATTTTTCCATTAATAACCTACTTTTATTAGCACAAATATGTGATAAAGTGGCAAATAATTGCTCGTAATATTTTTATCAATTTGTAATTAAGTCCTTACATAATACGATAAATAGATGTATTATTCAATATAATCAAATCTACTCTCCAACAAGTTATGAAATGAAATTTATAACTGCTGTACCTAAATTTTCATTACATTTTTACTTGTTCAGTTGTTCGCATGTTGTTAGGTTGCAGGTTACAGGTTATCACACGATCAGCTATCCAATCTCAAGTACTTAAGCGAATTGGAACTAGGAACTACCTCAGCCCACTAGCTCCAGATTCTGGAATGGAGCTGTTGAAGCCTTTCAAGATAGTTTTTTTTTTTTTTTTTTTTTTTTTTTTTTTTTTTTTTTTTTAAACCAAGATAGTTCTTGTGCTATAAATAGGGAATTATCACTGTACAAAAACATCACAAATACTCCAGCCTTATTATTCATAGCAGTTAGCAATCACTAGGAATCTTTAGCATGGTTACTATTCAATTGTAAACCTTTTTTTTTTACGAGAAATTATTAACCTAAATAGTACTTGTTTTAACCTAACAACCTAGTGGATTGGTGGATTCATTGTTACCACAATTTTTACCCTTATTCCTAGGGTTTTTTTGCGTCACCATTTCATGTCTATTCTCCCCTTTCCCTTTTGCTCGTTCGTTGCATATCTTCCATCTTGATTTCCAAAACCTGCATTGCCATTTGCACTCTTATTAATCTAATTGTTGTCTCATTGAGCCTGGTCTTATCTAACAGTCAGATTTTTTGCTAAACAATAACTAAGTTATGTTGGAAGTTCTTGATATAAAATAAGAGAGTTGGGGAAAAAACAAGAGAGAGAGAAAAACAAATGAAAGGGGAAAATCACACATTGGTTGGGAGGAAAGGTTTTTCCTTGTTTTTATATTGTAGTGTCTTAACACTACTTAGTCGAGTGAGTGGGAGTTAAGTGTTACTACACACACAAGCGCGCGCACGCCGAGCCGAGCCGGGCTCGGGACTTGGGTCTTGGGGAATGCAATGCGCGGGCGTGGGTCCTTGTTATCTTTTTGGAGAAATTTTATTTCCTTTTTTTTGTTAAACAGAATATTCTTTTTTGTCTGTTGGGAATATTCTTTTCTGACTGTTGGGATTACAGAACTAAGTCAGTCATTAATCCCTTGATTGTAGCTGACTAATTAATTCCTTGTTTCTTGCTTCCGTTGTTGACTAGTTGAGTGAATATGGTCGTTTTATTAGCCAGATTCGTCCCTCGTTTTACGTTTCATGTCTCCCTTCTAATGCCTATATATACTTGTTGCTTTTCCCAGTCAAATATACACAACACAATCAGTTATCTCTCTTCTCTAAAATTATCTAAACACAAGTTCTTTCTGTTTTGTTTTCTGGGCAAGTATTTTGAGTTCTAGTCGGATTTGTGAGTGCACATAAACTCCGGCGCCGTGCTTATCCTGGAGGACGACCGCTTCTAGTCTACTGCACCGGGAGGTAGCGCGGAATCGTCTTTTAGGTCAGTGGTTCTCCACGACGCGGCTATTGTCACTTTGGTTCACGCATCAAGAGATAAGTAATTTCTGTTTTATTGCTTAGTAGTTTAACAATCTAAAAGACGATTATGGCTTCCAAGTTTCTGATTCCTGATATGTCTAAGTTAGAACCTCTTGATGGAAAGAATTATAAACGTTGGGCTGTTAGGATGCGTTTTTATTTGAAGCAAATTGATGTTGCATATGTTCTTGATGATATTATTGAACTTGATGATAAGGATAATTTGTCTGAAACTGATGTTAAGTTTGCTAAGGATGATAGAACCTGTAAGGGCATGTTGTTGCACTATATGTCAAACAGTCTGTTGGATATTTATATGGGTTTTTATCATGCTAAGGATATTTGGGATGCTTTAGAGAAAAAATATGGGACTGATGATGCTGGTACTAAACGTTATTGTGTTTGTAAGTGGTTAAGTTTTCATGTTGTTGATGATAAGCCTATTATTGATCAGATTCATGCTTATGAGAGTGTTTGTATTAATATGGCTGCTGAAGGTCTGTCTATTTGTGATACTACCCTTGCTATTGTTTTAATTGAGAAACTCCCTCCCTCTTGGAAGGATTTGCGTAACCAACTCATGCACAAAAAGAAAGACCTAACCTTAGAGGAACTTGCTGCTCACCTCAAAATTGAGGAGGAAAACCGTATCAAAGACAAAACCCCTTCTGTTTTTCCTTCCTCTTCCTCAGCCAAAGCCAATCTTGTTGAACCCAAACACAACAACCAGTCCAAAGCCAATGACAGTTCTCTTAAGCCTAAAGGGAAGGTTCAGAAGTACAAGTTTAAGGGTACTCGTTTTGAGTGTGGTTTGACTGGTCACAAGGCTAAGGATTGCAGGGTCAAGAAGAAGAACAATGGGCAAAGTCAAGAAAATCTTATTGAGGATTCTAACGTTATTGTTGCTGTTGTTTTAGAAGCTAACTTTACAGGTAGTGCTGCTGAGTTCTTTGAGAACATTTTTCCTTTGAAAATGTCTCCTTCTAATGATAGTGGATTACATGCTAGTAGTTCTGTTAGTTTACCTATTGCTAGTGCTCCTATTACTAATAGTGATTCTGTTTTGGAGCCAAAGAGAAGCAAAAGGGCAAGAAAGGAAAACAGTCTTGGTCCTGATTTTATTACTTCCTATTTATCTGAATCTTCCTTAATTGATGATGATTTTGTGCATATATTTGTTTTGGAAGATGATCCGAGAACCTATGATGAGGAAATGAGGTCAGTTGATGCTGTTTTTTTGGAAAGAAGCAATTGATAGTGAATTACAATCAAT